GCGGATTAGAATTTCAGAGTTGCAGATAAGCACTGCTGATGAGTGTCAAGTATCACGAAACCTAAGTCAGACAAGGCTTCACGCCGACTGCCTTCAACCAACTAATGTCAACAGTCTTAGTTTGTTATGAAAAAATAGCAGATATTGCAATTTCCATTTATGAAAATATTATAAAAGATTAGAGGTTCATAGTGCTTGAGGAGTGTGTGAAAATGAACTTATAATAGACTGCAAGTACACTGGAGAACAGATGAGACTTCAATGTAAAGCGATATATATAGTTCACGCAAAGATAGAGAACAGCAGTTGATACACAAAAAGGGAGCTTTGGAGCAATAAACTCGAGAACAATGAATAGGTTTCAAACTCAGATATAAAAGAAAAGGACTTGGACACTGTGATAAAGTATTATCCAATTTTAGTTGGTTTATTTAGTGAAGCATATAATGATACAGTATTATATTCTGGATAATAAATAATGTTTTATTGGTGTGTTTTACACTTGAGATACACAGAGAGGAAAAACGTTTCTAATATAATTGTGAAGACATTGGTCAAAAACGCCCCCTCCTTATTTCTTGAGCTCAGAAGGATATTTCAGAACGGTTTTCACAGCATGTGTATTGGAACTGTTGATGATGGGAGGTGAAGTGGCTAATAACACTTACCATTCCATTTGGGAAATTAAATCAAGTGGGCGACAAAGAGACATTTGACTGCCTAAATTTGTTACATAGTAGTATTGTTTACCATGACAAATGACTACTAAAGTGCGATGATTTTTCACGAATACAAATATTTGACTAGTTACCTTCTTTTTTTTTCCTTCACGTTCCCAGTGGAACATAGGGGGCTTCAAGCTAGTGGCTTGAAGTTTCTGTAGCAGTGTTTATTTTACAGGATGGGGTTGGTAGTCTTATGCCCAACCTTTCCTCTTTACCATTATTTTATTACTGGCTTAGCGAGGTAAAGGAGGCGTCGGCTGGGGATCGAACCCCAGACCCTGTACATGGTCGACGAGCGTCCTAACCGCTGTGCCACAGATGCACAAAAGCCGCCGCCCGATGGGGGGCTCGAACCCCCAACCCTTAGATTAAAAGTCTGATGCTCTACGGACTGAGGTAACCGGGCCAGTTACCTTCTTAATAGTATAAGAATGTGACGAAGAGTTTAGATGTGAAGTATTAACGTGAATAATGTTAGTTGATGAATTTGATGGTATAACCATATCAACATAATATCCACCTTAACTTGTTAATCATGCTTTGATCGCTAATATTCACGTGGAAAATAGAATATTAATGAATATACATTACTGTGCTTTAAAAGTCTAATTGTACTATAATTTCCTATTCAGTTCCATAAGCTTTCTTCTCATTTGTTAGTTGTTGCTATGCATTTCACCATCGAAGGGAGATTTGGCCTACTGGGTTAAGTATTCAACCTTCAGCCAATGGACTCTGAATTCGACTTCAGACCACGCAACTTTCAATAGTATCATCAGCTCTCACGTGATATATATATATATATATATATATATATATATATATATATATATATATATATATATAAGTGGAATTGACACCGGGCCTCCTGTATGCCTAGTGATGAGCAGTCTAACACTGAACTATTGACATAGATATTGATCATTATATTCTTATACTTACAAATGAAGGATGAATGAAAGTATTCCATTCTACTTCTATTATTTGCTCTCCTTTCTTGTTTTCTAACCTCAAATCAATTGATCAATAAGATGTTACGCAATGTGGGCGGAGAAGAAAAAAGGAAATGAAATATACACGGTAGAATAGTGATACTCATAAAACACTACAGGATAATATGACTTTCATTGATGTGTGTATGTGTGTGCGTGTGGGCATATATTCACTTATGTCAATGAATAATGTTATACAACGTGCACATATGAAAATAGCATATCATTATTTCAACTGACTTTAGTAAAAGAAAATATGGGCAATTGTAAACTGAAACTATAAATCAATATACTGTTTATATACACTTCACTTAAGTATTGACAAAATGGAATTTTAAGAACAGTGAGAAAACGGAGATAACGAAATCCGGGAGGCAGCATAGTGTGGTGGGAGATGGCTGCTAGCCAAATTGGTAGACAGTAATTTACGTCAACGTTTATGTCTTGTGTAGGCGGATACAATTAGCAGATAGGTGATCCGACACTCAAGAAGCAGCCACAAATAGATGAAAGATTAACTTTCAGTGAGAAACAACCAATCAGAAAACGGTGTTTGTCAGTTAACAATAATCTATAATAATGTACATGAAAATCTATAAATATGTCTTGATTTCCTTAATAAACCATCGGTTGCTTGACTCTTGCCTTCTGTCGTTAAAATAGGAGTGAACTTTTATTTGGCAACACTTAAAGCATATAATACTTCTTTTATAACTTCCATTCTCAGTGAATATGAAATTATATAGAAAATAGTATATAATGAACACAGCTAGTTAGTAAGAAATCAGTTACTAGGCTCCGGGCTATGCTTAAAGAAAAAATTATTAGGAGATTCCCTCTTGAACAAACTAATCACAATATTTATACTTATAGTTGAACGTTTCAACTAACTTTGTTATTATCATGTGCTGGTTAGCAGAGATCTGATTGGTTGCAGGGTTGATCGAGAGTTGACATCAGTTAGAGAAACTTCTAGGAGTACTGGACAGCTGTTTCGTCCTGGTTTGTGACTATTTAGCAGTACGCTCCCTCTGCGGTTCGAACACGGAACATTGTCTTTATTCTATATGCCGTAATAGGTAATACAATAAGGTGAGCAATGTTGAGGTTAGACGTCTGGTGCTAGGTAAAGAGCGGAAGTTACATCGGCTGAGATGGATCAGATATGTGTTGCGCAGGCCTAACCATCCATCGTCTTCCTCGACGGGTAATGTTGGCTGACATAGATCAGGTTGGAAGAGATTTAGTGGTGGTCAAACCAAAACATGGCTTTATCTGTCAATGAAATCTAAAACAGTTAGTTTAAGACAATCACGTAGAAAGGTGTAGACTTCTTGGCTGGTTGAGATCCTCGGGATGGGAAAAACCAATGAGTGTAGACAGTTGGTGATATGGCTCAAAATCGTTCTCAGTGGGGCAAATGCAGCCACACTTTGTGATTTTTCATTTCCAATAAGGCTCTATGGTTCTTCCTTATTACTATTCTGTTTGCCTCATATTTATCCTTATTATATCTCTGTCGAAACTCCCCTTGCTGTATTTTGCGCTTGTGTGCTATTTGGAGTGTGGCAACTCGAACTGCTGCACATTTTTGCATAGTTCTACGTTGAAACCAGTCAGTCGGTCACCGGATCTTCCGGTCACAAGACGAGCTCGTAGACCACTGGGGCTCAGGATAATGGTCTATGAATCTAAATTTCGACCAATTCGTGATATATATTTAGCGCAACTACCAGCCAGTATCTCTGATGCTCACTAGTGATTGGCTCTAAACAAGAAGTTACCTGAAGTTCTAGTGAAAATTCGTATTCAGTGGGGTCCAACCTATCAGGCAAGAGGACAATTAATCGCCAATTGGCACTGACTAGTGGTTGCAGAAGCTGAGATTTATGAACCATTGGGCCAGGTCCCAGTGGCTCAGTGGTCTACGAGTTCATCTTGTAACCGGAAGGTTCTGAGTTCAAACACCAGTGGGTGGGTGCTGCTGAACAGTCCCAAACTAGGACGAAACAGATGTCCAGTTCTCCCAGGATCTCTAAAGGTTTTCTAACTGATGTCAGCCCGTGGTCAGTCGTGTAACTTTGTAGTCACTATCCGTTTTTATCCTGGGTTGTATATCACTGTTTCGACATTTCCATATCCGGACTGTCATCTACTCCAGTTCACCACAACTACGAGAATTATCGGCGACAGTAAGCAGCCTTGTCTTACTTCTTTTACTTTAAAGGTTTCATTGTGCTTTCCGATGTTAACCAACTGGAATCCGGGACCACCACATAGCTGCTGAATGAGGTTCTTATATGTTTGCGGCACTTCATAATGTTAAAGTTTGCGAATTACTTCACGGTTGACGCCGTCAAAGGCACCTGAAAAGTTGATCGTTATTTTAGAGCCTGCCCGACCATGATACGTAGTGTTACATTAATACTCTTTTTCTTGAATTCAGTCTGTTTCGAGAGGAGTGTTTCATCTACGGTATCTTTCAGTCTCTCCAGTATGATGAAGCCTAATTCTTTTTTCCATGGAGGTGACATGAGCATGATTCCAGGCCAAAATGGACTTGTTATGGTCTGAACGTAGGAAACCAATCTATGCGTTTTAGCTAGCTTGAACTTCCTTGAGTCATGAGTAGTCACGAAATGCTCCAACGACAGCAAAAAGACAGCTATTCGGGAAAAATCAACGAAGTAATTCCTCTGTTAGAAAGTTGATTTTTAAAGCAAGTCTTGAAATGGCTTAAGTCTTACCATGTTTTGACTTCGAGTATTCCATCAACTCCTAAATCAATCAATGTTCTGCTCACTTCATGAATTCTTCCAGAAAACCACGTTAATATATTGACTGCTACCAGCATGGTGTACTCTTTGATGACCTCCCTGGCCTTGCCACTATACAAATGCAACAAATATAAGCATCCAGATATTATTACTGCTACACTGTATGATATTTGAGATAAACTTGTCTAATGTAAAACAAGTTTGAGAGACATCGCCCATTATCCTTCCTTCACCTTGGAGACCAAAATAAAGTTAAAACTGTCTAATAAATTTCCGAAACTCGGCCGGTTATTCATCTAAAGAGCAGAGTTCTACTTTTGGTAGCTCTAGGCCGATGGTGTTACATTTCAGCGTAAAAGAACGTTAATATCTTCATGTGCATAAAAAATGATCAAGATACATACCATTACAATTCGTTTAATCGCGGGCATCCACTCACAGATAAACCCATAGAGACATATAATAACAACGCTTACAGATTAAATATATCAACATATTCAACTCACCAACGGGATATGCAGATGAAGTATCCCAAGAGGCTAATTGATAATGTGGAGATGAGGTAGAATAATTCAATTTTGAAGAACCACTGGCTATGGATGATAATGTTGATGGGATAGAATCTACTACACCCACTATTCCTGTTGTAGTCACACCAGTTACTGTTGATGTCATAGATGATGATGATGATGATGAGATTGGTAGTTGTGGTGGAGATGATGTGGATGCTGGACACGAGGATGAGACAGTATCCAAATTTAATGAATGTAAAATGTCTAATGGATTAGTCAGTGTATTTATTGCATTAGTGATAGGCTTAGATGTATGTTGTTCTTGATTTGCCATTGAGGTATTTAATATATGATTATTATGCGAGTCACCGATCAATGTACAATTTGTAAGGGAATAATCTCTTGTTTTAGAATCTGTTTCTGGCAGATCAATATAATCAGGCGGTTCAATTAAACAATTGCTTAAATTCTCTTTTGGTCTACAGAAAAAAAGAATAAATATGAAAGAAATAAAGTATCATTTCCAGACAAAAATTTTTTATAAATGAAAAAAATATCAGTAAGATAATACAACCAGGATGAATAATTTCTTGTACTTCATATCTAGCTATTTACTTCACATAAAATAGGGAAGTGGATAATTGATTTTAGCTTTTCATTTTCAGCTACAACATGGGTATACATTCGAATCTCGCTTGACATAGACATGGAAGTCAAACTGGGGCACCCAGAAAATCCTGGTTCCCAAAACTGTGATGCATATAGGCTCCAGAATTCAAGTGAAAAAAACAAATGAGGTACAAACCTGGTTTAGTCACTGGAAACCATGGGAACTGAGCTCCTGACTCTACTCTACTACCTTTTGGATCAAACTTCAAGTAAAAGGTTTGATGAGCGGCCTCATTCTGGGCAGCCAGGCACCCTCTCAACCCTCGAACAAATCGTGAGGAAAAAAATACATGAAGTTCAAACAATAAATGTGACATAATAAATCATATCTTACCAGCTAATTTAAAAAGTCAAGAAGTAAAAATAACAGCGGAAAAACACAATAGACAACAGAAGTAGTAGACTACATCTACTTGTTCAGTCATATTTTAGCCTCATATCCGTCTACGAAACTGTTGAAAGCGAAGGAATACAAGATGTCTTCATCTCCTCAACATTACTCACTCACATCCTTCTAATGCATCATATCTGTTCTTTTGGAGTAAGAAGGAATGTGTGCAAAATATACACGTCTAAACGTCTACTATCTGCATTTTATGCCAGACAAGAAGGAGGAGATAATTTAACAAATAAACGCAAGTTTTTTATTTGATATTATTTAATGCATTTAAAATATGAAGATAACAGAAAATGAAGTGTAACTTAACAGTCACATGCAATTTAACATTCAGCCATATCTATGGTATGAAGGCTAATGATGCCAACTGGATGGCGAAACATCAGGAGGCGTCACAAGCCGTGATCCCTTTATTTAGAATCTAATGTCCAACCCGATAAGCCACGACATCATATATAATAAATAGAAGTAATTTACTACTGAAAACAAAGAGAGAGAGAGAGTGAGTGAAAATTAAACTTAGTCACTGTGAGAATTATTCGCTACTACGGCATTATGTCTTTTCCTGTCATCATTTGAGTTTACAGTCACTTGACAATAGTATAAAAAGGTAGAGGACTCGAATAAGGAGAAGGAGGGTATTTTTGCAGTAACCATTGGCTATGTTACTTTATGAAATATTAGTGAGGACGATACCAGGACTGAGTTAACAGCCTCTGAAAACAACAGAACTATATCGATCTATCGATATTTTGACAACTATGGATAACACGGATTCAGTGAACAAAATCTTCAAGTATGCCAAAGCTGTACAATCGAAGATAATGTGATGAGTCCAAAGTATGACTGAAAATTTCAATATTCACAGCCCAGATGTCTCTCCCTTTCACTCTGTGTGTATTTGAGCTTCTTTCACACAGTTTAATGTTAACAGTTTCTTTTATGTTTTCCTTATCTTGTTTTTTGTTTTATCTTTTACTATTGTAAACGTAATCATCATAATTCTGTTTCCATAAGCTTTTCTGACTGTCAATTTTTGCCATCGCTTCTTTAATATAAGATTTGATAAGTTAAATTAATAGACAACTGTAAACGATTTCACGACCCCAGCTCGATCAGAAAACTGAATCCCTATTTGAGGAAGAACTAGCTAAACACATATCTGAGTTCGACAGCTGTGCTCACCCTGAAGAAGCCTGGAAGAATATTCAGTCAGCCATAGATACAGCTGTAAAAGCTGTGAATAAGGTAAATCCAAAGGTGAGTAAAAACCATTGGATTTCGACTGCCTCATCCGAACTGATAGATGCTAGAAGACTTATTCCGGCGAGCTCCGAATTCAATGAGGAGCGAAAGCTGCACAAAAGGAAACTTACGAAAAGTCTCCGCAAGGACCGTGAACAGTGGTGGGTGACAAAGGCGAAAGAGATGGAAAAAGCATCGGCGATAGGCAACACTAGGCAACTCTTTAGACTCATCAGGGAAACGGGTGGGAGAAGGCAAATCATTAGTGAGACTATTTCTGAGAAAAATGGCTCCTTAATTAGCTCTCAGGATAGACGCCTTGAACGCTGGAAAGAACACTTTGAGGGACAATTTAACTTGCCTACAGCCACACTGAACCTCCCCGACATCCACCACACCCGAATGGGATATAGACACTGGTCCGCCGTCTGTAAGTGAGGTCACAAAAGCTATCAGTAATTTGAAACGAGGCAAAGCGGCAGGACCCGACGGAATTATTCCGGAGGTGTTTAAATATGGGGGTGACATACTAGTTTGTAGATTAACTGAGGTACTAGGCAAAGTCTGGGAATCAGAGACAGTGCCATCAGACTGGGGTAAGTCACTTATTATACCGATATTCAAGAAGGGAAACAAGTCCTCGTGTGATAATCATAGGGGGATCAGCCTAACGAACATAGTCTCTAAAATCCTAGGCTCAGTAATCATGCATAGACTAAGCAGAACTCGGGAGGAACAGACAAGGGAAAATCAAGCAGGCTTTAGACCAGGTAGAGGGTGCATAGATCATATCTTCACTCTTCGACAGATTCTAGAACATAGACACACTTTTCGGCGTCCAACAATTGTCATATTTCTTGACTTGAAGGCGGCCTTCGACTCCGTGGATCGAAAGGTACTATGGCAATGTCTGACTGTGAAGGGAGTGCCAAGAAAGTACATTGCACTAATCAAGGCACTCTATTCAAACTCACGTAGTCGTGTAAGGGCTTATGGGGAATTGTCATCTGAATTGGTAACAACCAGTGGTGTCCGACAGGGATGTCCACTTTCCCCATTTCTGTTTAACTTCATCATAGATATGCTGATGGAAGTATCCTTAACTGAACGTAACGACTTAGGAATCGACTTGTTACCAGGGAATAGTCTTATGGACTTAGAATATGCAGATGACATAGTCCTGTTAGGGGAGGATGCTGACAAAATGCAGAGTCTTCTGAACACCTTGAGCAGCAATCTTCGTATGTTTGGCATGCGATTCGCCCCTACAAAATGTAAGATGCTGCTACAGGACTGGACCACGTCAACCCCTAACTTAGTGATAGGGAGTGAAGTGATAGAACATGTTGACCACTTCACCTATTTGGGAAGTTGTATTAGCACCAACGGACTGATTGGCGATGAAATCTCAGCACGGATCCGAAAAGCTCGAGCTGCTTTCGCTGACTTACACCATCTCTGGCGTAGGCGTGACATCCGGTTATCAACCAAGGGACGTGTGTACTGCTCATCAGTTCGCTCCGTCCTTCTCTATGGCTCTGAAACATGGCCAATACGCGTTGAAGACATGAAAAGGTTGACTGCTTTCGATCATAGATGTCTGCGATCTCTGTCTCACGTTAGGTGGTTTAATAAGGTAAGTAATGTTGACGTTAGGCGTAGAGTGTTGGGCAAAGAGGGAAAATCAATCGACGAGGCTATAAAGTTACATAGACTGAGATGGCTAGGTCACGTGCTGCGCATGCCTAACCATCGCCTCCCCCGACGGGCATTACTAGCTGATATAGGTGCAGGTTGGAAAAGAGCCAGTGGTGGCCAAACAAAAACATGGCCTCATCAATCCATGAAATCCTTGACAGTTAAACTGAGTCAGGTAGGGAGATGCAGACTTCCGGGTTGGGGCCCTCGGGACTCTAGGAATCAATGGCTGGAGACAATAGGTGACATGGCTCAAAATCGTTGTCAATGGCCAGCGCAGATGTATTCAGTCTCTGTAATCTTTCATATTCCTTTCTACCATTACCCATTCTGTTTCACTCTTATACTTGTCAGACTGTATTGATTCTCTTCACTCATCTTCTTGTCTACCTCTGTGTGCTATTTGGAACGTGGCAACTCGAACTGGTGCACTTCGGTGCCAAGTTCTATGTTGAATCCAGACAAATTTTAATTTGATTTTCTATTCTCTCTATCGATTAAGGTACCTATGAAATTATTCGCATTATACGATAAGTTTTCATGGAAATGAATGATAAGTCAAAGGAATTTACAAAAGTGTCTCAACGAACATTAACAATGAAAAGATTTTTTTATTATAGCTTGAAACCACACAGTGTTTTTGGTACAATTATGAAATTTTCAGCATATGATATCGGTAGCCCAAATTTCGCAGGCCGACCATTGATATCAGGTGTGCGTCGACAGGGTATTGAACCCCAGACCATGTGCATGGTCGGCTAGAGTCCTAACCGCTGTGCTACCGATTAATTTAAAAAAATACTATTACTATAAGAATAGAACTTCTACGAGATGTTACACCGTAGTTTCATATCCATCATATGTATCTCTACTTATAATGCCTAGTATAGTAATCCTGATGAAAAGTTTCATTCCGTTGACATCACCATGCAGTGTTTGGAAGATATTGATCTCCAGAGGCCAATTTACCGAAAGCCTACATGGAATGAACAATGCTCATACTTTAATAGTTTTTGTCCAAACAGCGATAGATGGACGCCAGTCACAGGTGAGTACGTTCTATAGAAAAATTAGAAAAAGAATTTCTTATCCTCGAAAAGATGTTGAAAAACAACGGTTATTTATAGAAGGTCACCAATAAGTACGAAAGATGTGATGGTAAACAAATCACAGTAGGAAAAAAGCCTATCTTCATTCAGCACGATTTTGACGGGATAGTCAGCAGAAGATTGAATACATCACTAACCAGAACCGATCGTCCAGCTAAGTTAGCTCCCGCTTGTCGGACAACATTCTCTTTGGTGCAATCAAAGCTCAGCAAACACCCTTCTCATGATGACTCCGTGTAAACAGATCTACATGTATCTGCGGCAGAAGTTGTATCGGGAGAGCAAAAAGAAGGGCATACCTTCGATTTTCTTAACATGATAAATCTGCTGAAGAAGCTGTGGCTTACACGGCGAAACGTTC